ATTGCCCTGGCTGGATGGCTCAGTTCGTTGGAGTCTCACCCGTATACCCAAAAGGTTGCGGGTTCGATTCCCCGTCAGGACACCTACAGGGGGCAACCAATAGATGGTCCTCTCTCACCTCGATGTTTCTCTCTTTCTCTCTCCACTCTCTCTAAAAATCAATGAAAATATATCCTCAGGTGAGGATTACAAAAACAATATAATGATGACGACCGCTAACGTTTTTCAAGGGCTCCATGTGCCTGAAACCGCCTTCAGTACTTCACAGTTTACCATGTTCTCACGGACAATGGCCCTGTGAGGTAGCGCTATCATGCCCCCATTTCACAGATGAGAAAACTGAGGCCAGCAGTGACAACCTTCACGCTCCGCCTGGGGCTGTCTCTGCCGTTTCCCATGGGAATTCCCACAAAACCCGGGAAGTGTGAGAAAGGGCACCGGAAATGGGGCGGGGACCAGTTCTCTTCCGAGCAGATGATTATCTTCTCTCTTCAGGAGGGACGCTGGCTGGAGGGCAGGTGGGGAATGGGAGTCAGAGAACTGAGGCCTACTGAGAGGGGCGGGGTCTCCCAGTCACGGAACCCGAACCCTCTTGCTGAGCCGTCCAGGAGACAGAGCACCAGTCCCCCTCTGTGTGCCAGGTGTAGGGGCGGGGCCCCCTCTGGAGCCCAGGGAAGAAAGTGAATGGGGGGGGGGGGCCAGGGTGATTGATGGGAAGGCCCCCTGGGGGGGCTAATTACCTAATAGGCTTAATGGTCTGATCAGGCGCGTGTAAGAGGATTGCCTTGGGCTCAGGGAAACCCCTTCATTCTGGACGCCCTCCCAGTGCAGGCACAGCCACAGTCAGCCCCTCCCCTTAGCACATCGGGGGACCCAGAACCTCCCATCTTAGGGGACCAAGTCCAGACCGTACTCCCAGTAGCTGAGGAGGGGGCTTCACAGCGGCCACCTGGCGCCCCTAGATGCTTTAGATGGTTTAAGGGGTCCTGGGAAAGTTGTTTATTTGTTTCTTTGTTTGGGGGTGGTTTTGTGTGTGTGTGTGTGTGTGTGTGTGTGTGTGTGTGTTTTTACCATTGTATGCTTCTATGAATGCGCTTTGTGGGGGAGACACAACATACATGTTAAAAGTGACTGGATGTAAAGTAAAGGGACTGCTTGTCTTGTTTCGTGCTATATCCCCGGGACCTAAAACAAGGCCTGGGCCTGGCCGGGTGGCTCAGTGGGTTGGGCGTTGTTGTCCCACGCACCAAAGGGCTGCGGGTTCTCCTTATCTGCTCTGAACGTTGGGATGTTGGAGTTTCACGGGAGAACACGGAAGATAGGTTTCCTTTGCTTTCACGGAAACAGTTGAAAACCACTGGGAGGTGCTTTACAGCCTTAAGCTTTGGAGGCAGAAACACCCCCATCCTCACTCCCACCCAGCCATCCCCACCCCCACCCCCACCCCCACCCCCGTCGCTGCCCCCAGTGTGTTTATTGCATGCCCACTGCTGCTGGGCACTGGGGTGTCCCTGGTGCATGCCCCCTGTGGGCTTCTGGGACACACTGCTCCGAATACATCCCCTCCGCAGCGGGTGAGGAAAGCTTCCAAGAACAAGAGGCACTTGCGTGGGGATCCGAAGGACCAAAGGCATTCACGGGGGCAGGGGACTTGCAGGCAGAGAGGATGTGCAAAGGCCCTGAGGCGGGGCGGAGGAAGACATGCTGGAGGAACTCAGAAAGGAAAGTGTGCCTCGTGCCCACAGAGAGAGACCAGGACCCGAGGCTGGCAAGGTGGGCGAGCCCCATCGCCAAGGGACTTGGGGTGGAGAAGGCTCCGGCCTGCGTACCCCGGGGGACTGAGGGGCCACCGTTGGGTTAGAAGGTAGGTGAGGCGAGCCACCTGCCGTGAGGCCGGTGAACCGAATGCTTTATCCGTGACCAAGAAGGAGGGCACAGACGCCCTTCAACTCCGATTTGACATCTCGGATCTGAGACCGACTGTCCTTGATCGCATTGGCCTTTGGCCACGGGCAGTGGAGGGTGTCAGACGAGGGAGGGAGGGCCCCCGGACGAAGCGGAGCCGCATTTGAATCTCAGCCCAGCAGCTAGCTGCCTCGGCGCCCTTGGAACTGGTGACCCGGAGCGGGCGCCTTTCCCTCTCCGAGGCCCTCTGTGCCTCAGTTTCCTCGTCCGCCCGCCTCCCTGGCAGGCTGCGAGGAACGGACAAGATCCCTCTAGCCCAGCAGCCCAGCAGCCAGGGCCACAGGGAGTGCGGAGAGCAGCTCTGGGTCCACCTCCTCCCTCCGCCTCCCGCTGCTCCCCCCAGTCAGACTGCCAGCGCCTCCCGCCCAGGCCTTCGCAGTCCCCGCTCCCTGGGCTCCCCGCTCTCCGCCCTGGCTTCTCGGTCTGCTCCCCTCCTGGGTGCCACAAGGATCTTGCAGTCTAAGTCAGACTGCATCCCCCCTCTGCTCAGAGCCCCCCGGGGCTGCCATCTTCTTTGGAGTAAAAACCAAAGACCTCACTGTGGGCTACGAGCCGGGACACCCCACCCCCACCCCTCTGAGCCCTCAGGTCCTCCCACTCTGCTCTCTCCCTCAGCCCCAACCACCGGCCACCGCACCCCCTGAAGCACCCCAGGCTCAACCCCACTCTGGGGCCTTGGAACTTGCTGTCTCTCAATAGCCACAGGCTGGGGACAGGATGGCAGTGGTTCAGAGCGAGGACCCTGGGGCCAGCCTGGCTCCCAATCCCAGCCCTGCCGCCTGTGCCAACTGGGCGCTTCCTTCACCTCTGTTTCTCATCTGTAGAATGGGTCCGTGTGTGTGTGTGTGTGTGTGTGTGTGTGTGTTATATGTGCGTATGTGTGGTGTGTGTGTGTGTGTGTGTGTGTGTGTGTGTGTGTGTTATGTGGGGGGGGGGTGGTTGTTGTCAGTCCTCACCAGAGGATATTTTATCATTGACTTTTATTTATTTATTTATTGATTGATTGATTTTATACAGAGAGGAAGGAAGAGAGATAGAGGGTTAGAAACATCGATGAGAGAGTCATCGATCAGCTGCCTCTAGCACACCCCCTACTGGGGATATGCCCGCAACCAAGGTACATGCCCTTGACCGGAATCGAACCCGGGACCCTTCAGTCCCCAAGCCGACGCTCTATCCATTGAGCCAAACCAGTCCCAGCTTATCATTGACTTTTAGAGAGAGTGGAAGAATGGGAGGGAGGGGGGAGAGAGAGAGACATCAATTGGTTGCCTCCCACACACACCCCGACTGACCGACGGGGCTGGGATCAGGGATCAAACCTGCAACCCCGATGCTTGCCCTGGACTGGGAATCGAACCCACAACCCTTCAGCGCGTGGGCCAACGCTCTAACCCATTGGTTCCCAACCTTTCTCATGCCGGGACCCTTGCATACAGTTCCTCATGTTGTGAGTCGAGACCCACAGGTTGAGAACCGCTGCTGTAGAGCCTAAGACCGTCGGAAAACACAGATATTTACACGACGGTTCGTTGACGGTAGCAAAATTACAGTTATGAAGTAGCAACGAAAATGATGTTATGGCTGAAACTGGTTTGGCTCAGTGGTAGAGTGTCAGTCTGCGGACTGAAAGGTCCCAGGTTCGATTCCGGTCAAGGGCATGTACCTTGGTTGCGGGCACATCCCCAATGGGGGGTGTGCAGGAGGCAGCTGGTCGATGTTTCTCTCTCATCAACGTTTCTAGCTCTCTATCCCTTTCCCTTCCTCTCTGTGGAAAATCAATAAAATATATTTTTTTTTTAAAAAGAAAATAATGTTATGGTCGGGTGTCACCACAACATGAGGAACTGTATGAAAGGGTCACGGCGTTAGGAAGGTTGAGAACCACTGCTCTAACCACTTAGCAACACTGGCCAAAATGAGAATGGGGTTTTGTTTTTTTTTTTAAAGTACCTCCCTCACCGCATCAGGGTGAAAAGTAAAAGAACTGGTGCTAGTAAGTACTTGGGAGAGAGTCTAGCCCATAGCAGGTGCTGCGGAGTGTTCGATAGAGAAAGCCACATTTTCGGGAGGGCTTTCCTGGCTAGCGGACCTGACAGTGCGGCCCCTACACGCCCCGTCCCTTTCTTACCTCTTTTTTTTTTAAAAAAAATACATATAGCTGGAACCGGTTTGGCTCAGTGGATAAAGCGTCGGCCTGCGGACTGAAAGGTCCCGGGTTCGATTCCTGTCAAGGGCATGTACCTTGGTTGCGGGCACATCCCCAGTAGGGGGTGTGCAAGAGGCAGCTGATCGATGATTCTCTCTCATCGATGTTTCTAACTCTCTGTCCCTCTCTCTTCCTCTCTGTGAAAAATCAATAAAAAAATATTTTAAAAATACATATATATATATTTTTTTATTATTATTGATTTTTTTTTTTTTCAGAGAGGAAGAGAGAGGAACAGAGAGTTAGAAACATCGATGAGAATCATCGATCAGTTGCCTCTTGCACACCCCCTACTGGGGATGTGCCCGCAACCAAGGTACATGCCCTTGACCGGAATTGAACCCGGGACCCTTCAGTCCGCAGGCCGACGCTCTATCCACTGAGCCACACCGGTTTCGGCTTCTTGCCTCTTTTTGTTTTCTCAGCACCGAGCACAGTCTGACAGCCATGCTGTCTGTCCCCGCTCTAGAACAACGTAGCTGTTCGTGCTCTTGGCTTACCCACTAAAAACTCTTTCGGCCCCGTTTTCCGCGCGAAATCAGGGAGTTGGCTTTTTTTTCCGGGACAGTTTCGCCAGCACCGTGCTAACTAAGCACATAGCAGGTGCCCGGGAACTATGGGTGAGTGAGTGAATGAATGAGTGAATGACCATTATTATCGTTTTCCTGTCTGCTGTTCTCATGGCCATTGCTCCTGGCGATCCCAGGGGTTCCCTAGGGCCCCCCACCCCCATGCTGGCACCTAAAGAAGGGGGTCCCCTCTCCAGGGGAAGACCCCTCCGCCCCTCCCCTCCCTCCTGACTCTCCTCCCACCTGTGCCCCTGCAGAGGAGGGTGAATACTTCCTGAAGGTGCTGATCCCTAGCTACGCTGCGGGCTCCATCATTGGCAAGGGCGGGCAAACCATCGTGCAGCTACAGAAGGAGACGGGAGCCACTATCAAGCTCTCCAAGTCCAAAGACTTCTACCCGGGTAAGTCCCTGCCTGCCAAGACCCTGCCCCGCGCCCCCCATCCCTCCCACCTGGGCCCAAGCAGCTGCCCCAGAGACCGTGAGAGTGGTGGGGGACCTCCCCTCCCCCTAAGTGTGTGTGTGGGGGGTGGGGAGGGGGGGGTGGTATGGGACAGAGCCTCTCTCAGCCCCTGGGGCCAGGCCCAGAGCAGATGGGGGTGGGGGCAGGGCAGGACAATGGGCCTGCTGCATATTCATGAGCTCATTTGCATGATGTGCCCCGGCAGATGTGCCCCTTCCCACACACCTGCCCCTCTGGGTCAGTTGGAGGCGCTTGTGAGGAGGGGCAGGGAGGCAGGTGTTAGGATGCTCCTTGCGGCTTGTGGGCCAGCCATCCTTGTCTCACACACACACACACACACTCTGTGTTTCCCCTGCTCTTTCCCTTCACATTTCTCGGTCACCCCATCCTGCCCGGATATTTTTTCATTGATTTTTAGAGAGAGCGGCAGAGTGGGGAGTCTCCCTGGTTTCCTGCCTGCTATGTCTCTTTGCCATGCTATCTCCGGCTTGCCCACTTTCTGTTCCCTTAGGCTCCCGTCCCACCGGCCTCTCTCCGTCTCCCTGGCTCTGCTGGCTATCCCTCACATCTTGTTCTCAGTCCCTCATCCGGTCTGTCTGTGGTCCGTCTCTGCTTCTCCCTCTCCCTCCCCTCCGCGTTCCCTCCCTTCCTCTCTTCCCACCACTTCTCCCCGTCTTTTCCTCTCCCTCCACCTCGCATGTTCTCTGCTTGTTCCTTCTTCTGCTCTCCCAACTCTGTCTGTTCAGTCACCCATTCAACCAGCGCTCCATAGCACCCCTCCATGGGGCCACCCCTCCTTTCCCCTCCTTCTGCTCGCCCACCTCTGCCTTCGTGTTTCGCTCCTTTTCCTGCGCCCCGGCTCCCTCCTGGGTGGCTCCGTTCTCATCTTTCCCTCTCTCCAAACCCCAGGCTTCTTCCTGCCTCTCCCCCAGGTCTGTCTGCTTCCCCACAACCGCACATTTTCAATGCCCCGCCACTCTCTCTAACCCCCCTCTGTCCCTCTCTCACCCTGCACGTCTCCCTCCCAAGACCGATGCCTGAGCGGGGCACCTAGGATCCCAGGGGAGCCCCCAAATGAGTGCACCTTTGGCCCAGCTGGTTCTAGTTCATCCTTAATCCCCTTGGGTTTTTTTAGGTCAAACAGCAGACATGGAGCCCAGGGTCAGGACACATTTATTCTCTCTCTCTCTCTCTCTCTCTCTCTCTCTCTCTCTCTCTCTCTCTGCCCCTCCCCCTCAGTAAGCAGCTTTGGCAAGAGGTTTAGAGAACGGTCCAGGGAGCCAGGCAAACCCCCTTTCCCTTCTTCCCTGGCCCAGTTGCCCCCAGGTCCTCCAGTCCACACGCGACAGACAGGACCTCTGCTTGGGACATGCATCCGGGGACACTGTGTTTCTCGCCCCTGAATCACATTCTGAGACACGAGACGCGTCATCCTCCCCTTCCCAGCTCAGGGACACACCCCACAGACCAGGCAGCTGGGAACCCCGGAGGACGGGACAGTCATTGACTCTCCGGGGATAAACACAATCCCAACAAACGGCGACGTAAGCCAGCGTCTGTCCCCAGCCCTTGGACGGGCGACCGGCCTCCCTCCCTGCTCCCGATCTCAGGGCCTGTGCCAGCCCCCGGCTCATACCCAGGACCCAGCCCACTCTACCCTAGTCCTGCCCCTAGGCCTTCCCAGGGCCCACGGGAACACAAGAAATAAGATGCTATTACTGGAGACGCTCGGCTGTTTCCCTCTGCTTCCGGCCGACACCCTTTCAGTCATTCAGTCAGCTCACGCTCTCTGAGCACCTCCTCTCTGCACAGAGATGGGGACACAGCAATGACTGAGATGCCCTCTCGAATCTCACAGCCCAGTGTGGGGGACAGACCCAGCATGAGGGGTGGTGACCCAGAGTGGTCAGGGCGAGGTGAGGAAGCCCAGAGGATGGTGAGAGCCCAGAGCGGGCACTCAGCTCAGCCTGGGGAGGTCAGGGAGGGTTTCCTGGAGGAGGAGCCCAGAACAATAAGTAAAAGAGAGAGGGGGAAAGAGCCGTGGAGTGTTCCAGGAAGATGAAATAGCGGGTTCCAAGGCTTGGCAGAGGGCGGCTCATGCAGAGAGAGCAGGAGAGGAGTGGAAAGGGTCTGCTAGGCCTCGCAGGTGCACACATAAACACGTACACTGCACTTGTGTGTCCACTCTAAAACCTCCTGGGAGGGACACAAAGAGGGGTCCCTCTAGGGGACAGGAAAACCCCAAACCCCATATGTCATCCTTTCGGGTCATCCATAGAGACACGGAGACCCAGAGAGAGCCAGGTCCCTGCCCGAAGCCACACAGGCTCCTGCCCACGTCCCCTGACACCCTCGCGATTCTCAGCTCCTTCTGAATTTAAACATCCATCTGAAGCCCTGGCCCCCGTCCCAGAAGGAAAACAGACACACAGGTTTTTAAAAATTTGATTTATAAGACATTTGCACCAAGGGGTAAAACCCTAAGTGACTACTTCACACATTCACACAAACCCTTTTTTTACTGTCAAAAATACAAAAGCAGCCCCGGCCTGTGTTGCTCAGTGCTTAGAACATCAGCCCGTGCCCCAAAGGCTCCCGGGTTTGATTCCCAGTCAAGGGCACGTACTTGGGTTGCAGGTTTGCTCCCCACCCCGGATTCGGAGGCAACCAATCAATATGTCTCTCTCACATAGGTGCTTCTGTCTCTCCTCTCTCTTCCCCCCCCCCCTCCCTCTCACTTACTCTTTCTTCCCCTCCCTCCCTTCCACTCTCTCTGAAAAGCAATGGAAAAAATATCCTCAGGAAAAGATTAACAACAAAAAAGAAGCAAAACTGCAATCCTGTTATGCCTCCCTTCTCTCTTTTCCCCCGCTCCCACCCTACTACACACACACACACACACACACACACACACACATATTTCACACACCGCAAATTTAGTACATGTGGCTCAGACTGTACCCTGGCCGGGTTTCTCAATGGTTAGAGCTTTGGCCTGTTGGACTGTAGGGGCCTGGGCTCAATTCCCGGTAAAGGGCACATCCCTCGGTTGCAAGTTCCACCATGCAGGGGTGTGGGGAGGGGGTGGGGGGCAGCCGATCGATGTGTCTCTCTCACATCGATGTTTCTCTCTCTTTTTCTCTGCCCCCCTCCTCCTCCCTCCCTTCCACTCTCTCTAGAAATCAATGGAAAAAGTATCCTCAGGTGAGGATTTAAAAAAAAAAAAAATCAGACTCTGAGCCAGACACCTGGGTTCACAACCCTGCTCTTTCCCTGCTGGCTGAGTGAACGTGGACAAACCCCCAAGCTCCTCTGTGCCTCAGTGTCCTTAGCAGTAAGTCAGGAATAATAACGTCGCCTGTCTTATATATTCGAGTGAACAAGTATATATAAAGTGCTTAGCGCGGCGCCCGGTGCCGGGTGTTATGTAAGCACCAGCTGTTATTATTGGACAGTCTCTCCGAGTTTCACCGAGCCCCATAACAGCCCCGTGGACCGGGGTTAAGAACCACAATGGGGGTCGGGGGTGCGGGGATCACATACTCTCTGAGCTGGAGAGAACCCTGGCCACTTCATCCAGGCTCTCCCTGGGGCCTCCCCGAATCCCCCCAGTCCCCACCCTGACCCACACACACCCTTTCCTATTTACACCCAGACGGAGGCAGCCTGCACGCTGACTCACCCTTGGCTCAGACCAAGCCATTGTTCTGGGTTGGGGGGGGAGTCGGAGTGAAGAACAGCGGCCCCAAGGAGATGGAGGATGTCAGCAACACAAGGGACCCAAGACAGGGACACCCACACATGGCGAGACTGGCCTGCGAGGCTGAGAGAGGGCAAGCAAGAGGTCTGAGCGGTAGCCCCAGCGTGTTGCGTGAGACCTCCCCCGGGACACTGGACACGCACTCCCGTGTCCCAGACAGGCAGTCACATGAAGCCTGGCACACACGCAAGACTTTTTACAGAAGCAGGGAGCTCACTGGTCCTGCAGATGGTGTCCCATCAGAGAGAGACACACACACACAGCCCCACACACAGCTCACCCAGGCACTCACATCCTCAGACTGGCCAGTTCAGTGTACAGTCTTCTCTGGCTGTAATACATACGCTCGAGAGACACACACACACACACACACACACACACACACACACAAACACATCAGTCCTCCACCCAGTCTTAGGTCCTGACACCTGGGTCTGCCTGTAGGTCTCTTTCTTAGATTTAGAGATAGACATCAGTCATAGTCTTGTCTATATCCCGTACACACGCTCACAGACATATACATTTGTACCATGTACCCATCATTCAAATAGTTTTTTGAACATCTAGGGTGTCTAGCTGTCCCCTTCCCTTACACACCTGTGCACACATATAGGCAAACACACATGCTGTCATACAGTTAAAGTGATACACATCCATTGTATAGCCTCAGTGTTGCTTCGTGAGATTCTTTGTTTCTTTCACATTCACAGGATTCTTAACCTTGAACATCACAGCGACACCCACCGTCTTTCCCACATACAAGAGCACACACAAACTTCTTTCCTGGAATCACTCTGCCATGTGATTATATCTCATCTCTCCTGCTCTTTCTCTTATACACACACACACACACACACACACACACACACACATGCAGATAAAGATCATTTAGCCAGTCCTGCCTCCAGGTGAACACACGCATGTGTGCACACTCACACACACACACACACACACACAATGATGCCTGGGTCGGAACCAGAGCCAACATGTGCAGAGTTTCCAGCAAAGACACCCAGTCAGTCCCCCATGCCTGCTCTCCCATGAGTTGCCTTTGACCCTCTCTGCCCTCCCCTGCATCCACACCCGTGCCCTCCCCCACCCCTCAGCCCTCCATCTGGTGGGTCCAGGCAGGCACTTAAGTCCTCTCTTCTGTCTCCCCATCCCCCAACCCTTCCCCATCCTCTCTCCAAAAGCCCAGAGGCCCTCGCTGCAGGCTTTCAGGGGTTGCCATGGCAACAGGACCTCATCCCTCGTCCCCCTGGGGGTGGGCTGAGGACCCGGCCAGCCAGACCGATAAGGGGGTTCCAGTTACTGTGGCAACCGTTGCAGGCCTGAGCTCTCCCGCTTCTGGAAGGGGGGGGGGGGAGTGAGTGAATGGTTGCCAAAGCAACCGGGAGCCAGCAAGGACTGGGAAGAGGCAGCTGAGCCCTGTCTCCCCTGCCCAGGGCCGCTGTGGGCATCGCCAGGCACTTAAGCATCATTCTTCCACCCCCTCGGGTTGTTTTAGGGGAGGGCAGCGAAGGGCAGGTTATAAAACAGGGATTCCACTCGCTCTCCCAGCTACCCACGATGGCCTGCCAGCTTGCCCATGCCAGCTTGCCCTGGCTTCCCAAACATGACCACACATTCTCAGGGCCTCGGTTTTTCTCTTGCCATTAAAATGGGGCCTGTTGTCTCTTCCTTGCTCAACAGGAACCACAGAGCGAGTATGCCTGGTTCAGGGCACAGCAGAGGCCTTGAATGCTGTGCACAGCTTTATTGCCGAGAAGGTCCGAGAAATCCCACAAGCGATGACCAAACCTGAGGTGGTCAACATCCTTCAACCCCAAACCACAATGAACCCCGACAGAGCCAAGCAGGTCAGCAGGGGCAGATGGGTTTTTTTCTGTGAAGCTGGTGAGGCTCGGGAAATGACACGTTCTCCCATCCCTGGATTATTAGAGGGGTTCAGAGGGTCACTGTTGATAAAATGTTTGGCAAATACATACATGGCAGTATCACTTAGCAAGTACGCCTAATTGCATTATTATTAATTAAGGAGTCCACCTGGGGACTCCAGTCTTGCTGATTGAGGGAGAGAGTAAAGGTCTAGGAGAATTTGGCCCACAGGCCCCCGACTGACCCCTCCTCCTCCCTGGGACCCGCTCCATCCCCTCCGCCCTCCATCTCATCCCATTGTCTCTCCCAGCAACCTGCCTCCCACTTCCTGTTCTCGCCGGAAGTAGCCTCCGCGACAGCCCCCGCTCCACATCCCGGGGAGTGTAGCCTCTCACGCTCCCTCTCTCTCTCTCTCTCTCTCCATGAATTACCACTGTATGGGTGCAGCCACCATTTTGGAGAAAGGATGTTTCGTTAGCAGGAGAGGGGCGGGCCCCTCCCCTCCCACAGAGCCATCACTGGGAAAGACGGAAGGAGGAGGGCAGCGCCTCTCCGCTCGCCGTCTCCCTCACGGGGCAGCGGCGGCCGGGGGGGCGTGGCCAGGGAGCGGACCAATAGCGGCCCAGGCCTCTCCGGTTGCCATGACGACGGGGCGGCAGGTGGGCTGCTGCGGAGACTCCGGGGCGGCGGTGGCGGCGGACCCAGGCGGAGGGACCAGGGCGGAGGGGAGCGCGGAGCGAGCTGCGCGCTCCCCCGTTTTCTCTCCCGGCTCCCGCTCCCACAGCCCCTCCACACGAGGTGTAAGAGGGGGGGGAAGCCCTGGGCGGCGGACAGGCCACTTGGGAGGGGTCCTGAATGTCCGCCTAGAAACAAATGGGGGGCCTTGAGGAAAAAAACATCTGGAATTCTTGGTCATTCTTGTTGCTCTGTGTCGGGAGGAACCGCGTTCCCCCAAGTTGGTGATGGGGGAACGGTGGAGGGAAAGCCTCGGAAGAATGCTGCCCGGCAAGCAGCAGGTTGTCCCCCAAAAAAGGACTGGGGCTGGGAGCGCGGCCGCTGTCCTTGGTGCTGAACCCGCTCCTTCGCGCCCTTCGCCCGGCCGGCCTCTGCCACCAGCAGTGTGTCCACAGTGTACAGGGAAGCGAGGATATTGCCTCTTCCCTCCACCTTGGTCGCTGCCACAAGGGATCCCGGGTCCACCAAGAGTTTGTCCATGTTGCAGGGGAAACAGGGTCAGCACCACGTGTGCCTGAGCCTCCCACCCCACCCCCTCATCCACAGGAACTCCGAAGCAGCGGAGTCGGAGGTGGATAGGACCAGGATTTTTCCCTCTGCCTGATTACTCCACAGGACTCCACAGAATGAGAGAGATCAAACCCTGGAGTCATACGTTGAGTTGCATCTTGCTTCTGATGCTTCTTACCTGTGTGACCTTGAGCAAGTGACTTGGTTTCTCCACATGCCTCATTTCCTCATCTATAAAATGCTTAAGGTGGTCGTTTGTGTTCACCGATGTGGGAAATCACTTAGCATGTATGCCTAACGCCGAGATCAGCAAACTGCCGCTCACGAGCTGCATGCGGCTCTTTAGGCCCTTGAGTGTGGCTCTTCCACAAAATGCCACGGCCTGGGCGAGTCTATGTTGAAGAAGTGGCATTAGAAGAAGTTTAAGTTTTCAAAATGTGGCTCTCAAAAGAAATTTCAATCGTTGTACTGTTGATATGTGGCTCTGTTGACTGATGAGTTTGCCAACCACTGGCCTAATGCACAGAAAGTTCTCAAAAAAAAAAAATGTTAGCTGCTGTTATTATTATTACAGGATTTTTTTAGCCAGGAGACAGGCCAGGCTATTCCCTTTTTCCCTGGACTTGCTGTAGTACTCTGAGTCTTCTTCCTTTCTATAAGCATCAGTTTCCCTTTCGTTACAGTGTGGAAGCTGGCCAAACCAGGGATTATATATTGAAATGCCTCCAGGATTCAGAAAGGGAACGTGAAGGATTGAGGATCAAGGCTTCATCGCAGAGATATAATCCCACCCTTTAAGGGGGCAGCTGCTGCTCAGCTACACTTGATGCTTGCCCTTTGGGGATGTGGACATAGGGTTGCCACATCTTCCAAATTTTTCAAAAGAAGCCAGAAATCCTTGAAATCGGCTGATTTTTAAAGAACAGCTTCGATTTTAAATACTATGTAGCGCCCTAGCTAGTTTGGCTCAGTGGATAGAGCGCTGGCCTGTGGACTGAAAGCTCCCAATTTTATTCCAGTCAAGGGCACATGCCTGGTTGCTTGGCTCAGTCCCCAGTAGGGGGCCTGCAGGAGGCAGCCAATCAATGATTCTCTCTCATCATTGATGTTTCTATCTCTCTCCCCCTCTTCCTTTCTCTCTAAAGTCAATAAAAATATATTTTTTTAAACAAAACACTTTGTGGCTACAGGCTGGTTATGGCTTGAGGAACAACAGTGTGCCACCAGTTTTGCTAAACCGGTGATGCTCAGCCCTGGCTAGCATCTGAATTATCTAGGGAGCTTACAGTATGTATCCAGGGTCCCCCCCCTGACCCAGAATTTCTGGGACTAAGGCTTTAGAATCTGAATGTGGACTCTGGCCTGGGATCAGATCCTAGCTCTATTGTTCACTCTCTGAACCTGTAACCTTGAGTAAGTTACTGAACCTCTCTGTGCCTTTATTTTCCACTCCGTAGAAAGTGATAATAATAGTACATCCCTTGTTGGGTTATTGCCAGGATTAAGTAAGTTACTGTATGAGAGTTTAGAAAAGTGTGTGGCACATGGTAAGCTGCTGCTGTTACCATGGTTATTACTGTTAGTTTAAAATCTCCAGACTTGCAAATCATGGGACAGATGGTCTCTGAGGTCCTTCTGGCTCTCAAATGCCTACAATTCAATGGCTCTATGATTCCAGGATTCAACGCATCTATTATTCCAAGATTCTACGGTTCTAACATCCTGAGACTCCGGGGTTCCATGGAGCTGCCCCTGGGACTCCGTTCTGGGGCTAGTGTGAAGGCAGCCACTGTTTTCTGAGGCTTCCCATGAGCCGGGCACCAGGCAGGCGCTTTAGCCGTTGAATATCCCCAGTCACTGTGACCATGTCAGAGTGGGAGATGAGGAGACGGAAGCACAGGGAGGTGAAGCCATTTGCTTTCACCTTTTCTTGGCGATCGGTTCTGGGGAGAAATTATTCCATCCTCCCCCCATTGCTCTGAAATGCTTTGTCACATAGGAGGCATCTCTTTGCTGCCGGATCTGGTTTTGTACTCTCTTTGTTCTATCCCTTCCGCTTGTCAGGTTTCTTATTTTCTAATGAATTTTTTTTTTTGAAAAAACAGTTGTACTGAGATATAATTCACATACAGTAAAGTTCACCATTTTTAAGTATCTAATTCAGTAAGTATATTCACAAAAGTGTGCATTGATCACCACTACCTAATTCCAAAAAAAACCTTCACCACCTCAGAAAGCCCTATAACCATTAACAGTCACTCTCCATTCCCCCCTAACCCCCCTTCAAGCCCCTTCCCAACACTGATTATCTTGGTGTTTAGGGATTTTCCAGTTCTGGATATTTTATATAAATTAAATTATATTTATGTGGGGTTTTGTGCCTAGCTTCTTTCCCGTAACATAATGTTTTCAAGATTCATCCATATTGTAGCACAAGCATGTCAAACTCAAAGGCTAACTCGGGCCAAATAAACAAGGTTTAAGTTTATGTGGACCGCAAAAACACAAAAGCTTCAATTTTCATAGAAGTGTAGGTCTATTTCATTAGAGACATGTTGAATACAAAGGGCTGAAATAAATGAGTCATGTTAACATAAAATAATAGAACATTTTAATAAAAATTAATATTTTTTTCTTGAACATTAATTTACCAGACACTGAATAACCACACAAATTAATAAGCGTAACACAAATAGACCTACCTATTTTTCTTGTTCTCCAAAAGCAAAATGTTTCCTGTTGCACACACCAAACAAGTCAGTCCAAGACTAATGACGTGATAATCGGCTGCTAAAATATTCACTGCTAGTATTAGTGAGAGAAATGGTGCGGCTGCACATAAGACAGATAAGGGAAATGAATGCAACACGATTATAGTAATCCGTCATTAGCAAACATTGTAGTTAGTTATTGGTAATTATGTATAAAAGGATATTGTAAAAACTAAGTTACGAAAATTTTATTAAAACATTTCTTACTGCCGAGACCGGTTTGGCTCAATGGATAGAGCGTCGGCTTGGGGACTGAAGGGTCCCGGGTTCGATTCCGGTCAAGGGCATGTACCTCGGTTGCGGGCATATCCCCAGTAAGGGGTGTGCAAGAGGCAGCTGATCGATGACTCTCTCTCATCGATGTTTCTAACTCTCTATCCCTCTCCCTTCCTCTCTGTACAAAATCAATAAAAATATATTAAAAAAAAAAAAAAAACATTTCTTACTTACCGTTATATTGGCTGGTCCGCATGCGGAGCTTGTTGTAACACATATCAAAACTTCATTTCTTGTTATGGCCAAATCATATTTCATTGTATGAATAGATCACATTTTTGAATCCTCCCCTGATGATATTATATGTCTATTGATTTGAGAGAGAGAGGGAGAGAGAAACATTGATCAGTTGCCTCCTGTACACTCCCCAACCAGGGATGGAACCCACAGTCTAGGTATGTGTCCTGACGGGGATTGAAACCACCACCTTTTGGTGTAGAGGATCCACGCTTCAACCAATGGAGCCACCTGGCTGGCACTGAACATACCACATTTTTTCTATTCATCAATTGGCAGAAATTTGGATTGGTCCTACTTTTTAGCTACTATAAATAATGCTGTTAGTGAACATGAGTGTGAACATATGTTTTCAGTTCTCTTGGGGATATACCTAGAGATGAAATTGCTGGGTCACAGGATAAATCTGTTTAACCTTTTGAAAAATTGCCAGACTGTTTTCCAAAGTGGCT